CCCCCGTCTCTGCAGAGTCCTTCCTCTGCTCAGCTCCTCCCTAGGTGTCCCCTCCGGCCATGCCTACCGCCTCCCTCCCTCCTGCTCCCTCTTCTTGGAGGGGGGCTCTTCTGGTTTGCTTCTGGCTTCCCTGTCCATTGCAGCTCAGACTCTTCTAGCTGCTTCTGTCCTTTGGCCCCACCCCATGTACTGACTGGCTCGAGGTCTTGTCCTGGGTCTCTGTCCTGCTTTGTCTCACCCCCGCCCGTTGGCTCATTCCATCCATGGTCATGAGCGTCAGCCTGTTGACAGTGATCCCCTGGCTCCCGCTGGCCTCTCCCAGCCCATCTCCTGGCCCCTGGTACTCTGGGTCTTCCGTAAACTCTGCACATCTACCACAGGGCCTTGCACCTTGTCCCCTCTGCCTACAACGCTTTCCACCCGTTCTTCACGTGGCTGCATCCTTCTGGTCATTGAGCTCAGCTCTCAGCTTACACGTCATCCCAGGAAGGCCTCTCTTGATCTAAATCAGCCACCCCTTTTTGTTAAAGACCCTCTTCTATTCTTTGTAGTGCTAACTGCTGTCTTACCTCCATTTTTTGGCGATATTCATTGTTTATCGTGGTATCTAACTTTACTGGAGCGGAAGCCCCATGAGGGCAGGACTCTCACGTACACCGTTCCCTTCTGTATCCCAGAACCTCTGTCAGTACCAGGGTGGGATAGACATTTGGTGAATGATGAGTGAAAGAATGAACAAACGAGTGCCTGGCATCCTGGAGCTTAAATCCAGATGCCTCTGACCCCTCGGAACTTTCCTACCACACCTCCTGCCTCTGCTTGGACCCTTGTGTAACCATCTCTGCCCTTGTGCACTCACCACAGGTGGTCAGAGAGATCTACAGCAGCTGCAGCGGGCCAGCAGACTCGGAATGTCCTCCCCCTTCCAGCTCCCCGGTGCACAAGGCAGAACTGGAGAAGGTAAGGGGCGTGTTTCTTTCTAGGAATTAACCGTACAGTTAACTTGGGCCTTCCTTGAAGTTTTCATAACACCTCTGATATTTCAGCACTTCTGGTTGAAAAAAGAAAAAAATAATGCAGCCCTGCTTCCTCTCTGCCTGCTCTGTACGAAGCTCAAGTTAGCTGTTTTACAGATTGCATGGTTAGTTTTATTCTTCCCAGCTGTAGATGCAGGAATGGCTGTAAATGTGACACAGGATTTAAGGTGATCAAGGTCACCTGCTGTTACACAGCAGCATGAGATCCGCAGGCAGCTCTGTGTTCTTCTGGAATACAGTAGGTGCTTCGTCAGTGCACCTGCCCAGAGGTATATTCCCAACAGACGGGTAACACTTCCTGTCCTTCTCTGCTCTGTACTTGGGTGCCGTGAGCACGCAGCAGGTGGGTAGGGCTAGCCCTTCCTGCCAGAGCGCGTGAACCCGCCACTCCTGCTGTCTGTCCCTCATGGAGCTCCGTTGCCTGTATGTGCAGAGATCTCGTTTCCATGGAGATCCCTGGCTTTGTGCCCCACCGTGTTCTGTCAGTAGCCTCTGTCTCAGGAACTTTCTGAGCTCTCCCTGTTTGGCCCCTGCCCTACCGGTGAACAGATCCTTTTTTGTCTATTCTTGTTTTAGTCAGGGTTCTCCAGAGAAACAGAACCAGTGGGGTGTGTATGTATGTATGTGTACACAAATTTTATGTATATTATAAAATATACATAAAATTTCAATAAAAATAAGATTCTACATATACAGTTATATGCATACTGAGAGATTTATTATGAGGAATTGGCTCACAAGGTTATGGAGACAGGTGAGTCCAAAATCTGCATCGTGGGGCCTTAGGCTGGAGACCTAGGAGAGCTGATGGCGCAGGTGAAGTCTTCGGGAGGACTGCTCCCCCCCCACCCTTGCTTTGGAGGCCCACTTTTTAATTTTTTAATTCAGACCTTCAATTGCTTGGGTGAGACCCACCTACACTGTGGAGGGCAATCTGCTTACTCAAAGTTCACCAATTTATTTTTTTATATTTTACAATTTATTTTATTTATTTATCTATTTATTTAGTTTTGGCTGCGTTGGGTCTTCGTTGAGGCGCGCGGGCTTTCCCTGGTTGCGGTGAGCCGGGGCTACTCTTTGTTGCGGTGCGCGGGCTTCTCGTTGCAGTGGCTTCTCTTGGAGCATGGGCTCTAGGCACACGGGCTTCAGTAGTTGTGGCACGTGGGCTCAGTAGTTGTGGCTCGCGGGCTCTAGAGCACAGGCTCAGTAGTTGGGGTGCACAGGCTTAGTTGCTCCACGGCATGTGAGATCTTCCCGGACCAGGGCTCGAACCCATGTCCCCTGCATTGGCAGGCGGATTCTTAACCACTGCGCCACCAGGGAAGCCCCAAAGTTCACCAGTTGAAATGTTAGTTTCATCCACAAACACCTTCCAAGTTGACATACAAAGCTAACCTCACAACCCTCACCCTGATATTGTGACATAGCAGGCCTATTTCTCTTTTTTCCTGATCACAAAACTAATGCCTGCTCACTGCAGAAAATTTAGAAAGTAAAGAACCAGAAATAGGATGGATAAACTCACTTAGAAGTCTAGAGCTCCTCTCAAAGCTCTGCATGTTTTTAAACCAGATTTTTTCTATTCATGTGTTTCTTTTACAGTTTGGATAATCTGATGCATAACATTTCTTATGCTGCTTTTCCCTTTTTTCTCTTCAGTTAACCTTTATACTATTAGCAGTTTTCCAGGTTTTTGAAAACACATAACATGCAACAAGCATGTTTGCATTTTCATCACCTGAATAATGTCAAATTCATATAACTCTATTATTTATATACCCCCCCACTAGGCTCTTTTTTTTCTTTTTTGAGTCGTGTAAAATAACCTGACACTTTTGTGTAAATCTTTGCTGCTTCTCTGACTATTACCTGAGAAAAGATTCCTAGAAGCTGGCTTACTAGACCAAAGGATGGAATTTTTAAAGATTTTGATTCATGGGTCTAAGCAAGTTACTTTCCAAAAGTTTGATCCTATTCTGTTTCTCATCAGCAATACGTCAGGGTTCTTCTTTCACCCACTCACACGGGAATTGGCAGTTCTCTTTTACTATCTTGGTTTCTAAGGTGGTATTGTTAGTGCCTGGCTGGGCCTGTTGACCCAGATCCCAGGGGTGCTTCCTGGCCTGAGAGCTGGGCTTTTAGTCCTTCTATCACTGGAATGTGGCACACACTAGGGTCCCACTAAAGCCATAATTCTTTTACTTTGTCTCTTGCCGGTACCACTGGGGTTTACTGGCACCTGCCTGCCATCTTGGCCCAGCACTGCCTGGACCTCTTATCACGAGGTGAGCGTGTGTGTCCCTGTGTTCTGGTATCATCCGGGTATTTTGATTGTCTCCCCGCTGGCCAGTCTCTGTGGCCCTGGGGTGTAATTTGAGGTTCTGAGGAGGGGTGTTCTGGAGCCATTTCCTTCACTGTGATTCCACAGGGTCTCTGGTTGGAATGGAAGAGGTTCTGCTCAGAACTATGTTTCTTCTCCTGAAACTAACCTGGAATCCTAATTAGGCCCCTCAAATCCATATATTAGGATTAAAATAATTACAGGTATCCCTGTGCCCTTTGATGGCTTTGATAGTAACTCATCTCTCTGTGTATATTCTGACTGTATTGTTGTGAGCAGATACTTGACACTCGCCCAGTTATTGGTGAATGCTGGGAGGAAATTAAATGAATGGTGTAGGATTTATTTCTGGAAGGATAATGTGGCTTTGGTGAGGGGGAATATTTTATGTACTCCTTATATTTGGTTGGCCGAAAAGTTAGTGCAGGTTTCTCCGTAAGATGTTACGGAAACCCCGAACAAATTTTTTGGCCAACCCAATATTTTTTTCAAAATTATTTGCAAGAAAGTGATTTGATGGAAACAAGCTTGGTACTATAGCGTGTGTTAGTATAACCTCAGCAACTTTTTTCTTTGTTCTTTCGATGTTTTTAAAGCTGTTGTAGCAAACCAACCAGGTAGTCCGTGTTAGAGTTGAGCCCTGTCTCCAGATGATTAGGAATGTGGCCCACATTTTCTTTCGCTTTTGAGATGACTTTTGATTGATCCGTGATGCATCACTTGGTCAGTGTGGCCATTGTAAGAATCACTGAATCTTTTGATCCTCACAGAAACTGTCTTCAGAGAGACCAAGCTCGGATGGGGAGGGCGTTACAGAAAATGGAATTGCTGTGTGTAACGGGAAAGAACAAGGTGAGTTCTGTTCGTGCCAAAAATATATAAAACAAACAACAACAACAACAACAAAACCCCAAATAAAAGCACTGCAGCCAGGTCTGTAAACTCTGTATGGAAAATGTCCTCGGTAGTTCAGTTATGCAGATGTCATCGTTCCGTGTTACACTTGCAGAAATCCAGAGAAACCCCTTCGGTTGATACTCCTCCTCCATGTCTTTCTTGCAGTCCTACCAAACGTTGGCCTAGGTTTTCTCCTACTGTTTTGATATGGGGCCCTGCGTATATTTTCATTTATGACTTACGGCAGGTTACTTCCTCACCTGATTTATCACTGAGACAAATTTGCACTGGGGGGCCGCCAGCATCTTGCTGGGAGACGTGATTTTCAGGGAAAAGAGCTTTGGATGATGAGACTGGGAACCCCTGTGCCCATCCCAACGCTGCCTTTGCTGGAGAGCGAGATTGTGAGCAAGTATTTCCTCTTTGGTGAGCCTCAGTTTCCCCATCCTTAAAATGAGGAGGCCGGACTCAGAGATATCTGATGTTTTTAAAAAGATTGTCTGGGGCTTCCCTGGTGGCGTGGTGGTTGGGAGTCCGCCTGCCGATGCAGGGGACACGGGTTTGTGCCCCGGTCTGGGAGGATGGGCCGGTGATCCATGGCTGCTGAGCCTGTGCTTCCGGGGCCTCTGCTCTGCCGCAACGGGGGAGGCCACAACAGTGAGAGGCCCGTGTCCCACACAAAAAAAAAAAAAAAAAAAAAAAAAAAAAAAAAAAAAAAAAAAAAAAAAAAAAAATTGTCTGGAAATATCTTTATTTCACCTTCATTAAAAAAAATTCTTTTTTAATTGTGGTAAAATACAGATAACATGAAATATACTGTCTTAACCATTTTTAAGCCCAGTTTAGCGGCATTAAGTGTCTTCACAGTGTTGTGCAGCCGTCCCCACCATGGGTCTCTAGAACTTTTCTCATCTTGTAAACTGCAGCTCTGTCCCCACGAAATACTAGCTCCCCATTCTCCCCTCCCCCCACTCCTGGCAACTGCCATTCTACTTTCTGTCTATAATTTTTTGTTTTTCTTTTTTGCGGTACACGGGCCTCTCACTGTTGTGGCCTCTCCCGTTGCGGAGCACAGGCGCCGGACACGCAGGCTCAGCGGCCATGGCTCAGGGACCAGCCGCTCCGTGGCACGTGGGATCTTCCCAGACCGGGCACGAACCCGTGCCCCCCGCATCGGCAGGCGGACTCTCAACCACTGCGCCACCAGGAAAGCTCTGTCTCTATAATTTTTGATGACTCTAGGGACCTCATATAAATGGAATCCTATAGTATTTGTCTTTTTCGTGACTGGCTAATGTCACGTATTTCACTCGGCATGCTGTCCTCAAGGTTCATCTACACTGTAGCACGTGACAGGATTTCCTTCCTTTTTAAGGCTGAATAATATTCCCTTGTGTGGATGGACCACATTTCGTTTCTTTGTTTATCCGGTCATCCATTGATGGACACTTAGGTTGCTTCCACCTTTTGGCTATGGTGAATAGTGTTGCTATGGACATGGGGGTACAAATACTGAATTCTCTTTTTTTTTAAAGTCAGCTTTATAAAGGTGTAAATTACGTAGAGTCAGATTCACCCTTTTTGGTGTACGGTTCTTTGACAAACACATGCATGTAACCTTCATCACAATCGAAATGTAGAACATTTCTATCTGTCACCCCAAAATGTTCCCTGGCAACCACTGGCCTGTTTTCTGTCCTGTAAGTGGAATCATACAGGGTGCAACCTCCTGGATCCGGCTTCTCTCACTCAGTGTTTTGCATTTGGGGTGTGTCCACATGGGGAGTCAGTAGTCTGTCCCTTTTCTAGGCTGAGAGGATTCCAGTGTGGATGGACCAGTTAAGTTTATCCACTCCCCGACTGAAGAACAGCTGGACTGCTTCCAGGTTTGAGTGGTTTACAAGTAAAGCCATCGTAGACATCCACAAACAGGCTTTTGCGTGAACACGTTTTCATTTCTCTCGGCTGATACTGCAGAGTGGGACTCTTGTGGTCACAGGCATTCATGTGCCTTCTCACCAGCCTTTCATTGTCATCTTTGCTTTGTTTTGTTCTTTTTATTTAAGCCATCTTAATAGGTGTGTAGTGCTGTGTAATTGTGACTTTAAAACACATTTCCCTACGACTAACAATGTCGCACATTTTTTAGTGTGCTTTTTTGCCAGCCGTTTATTATCTTTGCATATTCTCATTGGATTTTTTTTTGTTCATACTGATTTCTGAGAATTCTTTATCTATTCTGAATGCAAGTCCTCTGTCACAGCGGTCCCCAGCCCTTTTGGCAGCAGGGTCCAGTTTCATGGAGAACAGTTTTTCCATGGCCGGGGCCGGGGCGGGGGATGACCCAGGTGGTAACACGAGCGATGGGGAGAAGCTGTAAATACAGATGAAGCTTCGCTCGTTGCCCGCCGCTCACCCTCTCCTCTGCAGCCTGGCTCCCAACAGGCTGCGGACCGGTGCTGGCCCGCGGCCTGGGGGTTGGGGACCCCTGCTCTATCAGATGTCTTTTGCACACATCTTGTCCCAGTCTGTGGCTTGACTTCTAGTTTCCCACGCAGTGTCTGGGCCCAGAGGAGGGGTGGGGTTAGTGGGTGGTCAGGAAGTTTTCCCTGTGCAAGGCCAGGAGCCTCTGTGCTTCCCAGGCGAGTAGTTCTGCCTGCGCAGCTCAGTTGCACTCAGTCGCCAGGGTGGTGCAGGTGTCTTCTGCCTCAGACACACACAGAGGTCTCCTGGCCTTAAACCGAATAGCAGTCCTGGCCGCTAAGAACCTTGGAGCCTGAATCATCTGGGCTATTGTGATATTTCAAGGTTCACGCCAGAGGGTCGTGATCTCTGCCTTGGCCCATGTGATTTTCTAACTCGGTTGTATCTTGAGTGTAATTTTAGTTCTTTCCATCGGAAGTTATTCAGTGGAAGGTATCATCTGTGTCTTCACAGGGCACATTATGTGTAATCAAAGCCAGGAAAGCTATCTTTAAGTTTTGCCCTGAAACAGAACAACATACAATCTGAGGGTTCCTGCTCAGACGCCGAGGCTAGCGGGCATTGCTTTGGCTGGTCTCTTTTCTTGTTTGTGATTTCCTCACCCAGTGTCCCTGCATGAAATTAGGTTCTACAGAATGATATATATATGTCTAGATATACAGGTAAGTGAATATGTCTGATATTCTTCTGTTTCCTTTTAACAAGAGCAGCCTTCTGTGCCTTGTAAAGGTGACCTTGGTTCAAACACTTTTTGCCTGGCAATGGTGCTTTGCCTATAGTAGACCACCAATGAATAGTCACTGAAGGAAGCTAACAGCTTAAATACATTCTGACCGTCTACCTTAGCCTTTATCCTTGCTGTGCCGTCTTGATTAGTTTGTAGTTGAGAAGTTCTGGTAAACCTCCCTTGATCCCAGCCATGTCGTGACTCAGACACATTTCTCTGCTGGCTGCATGGAAGATATGCCCAACTCCTGCAGTTTCTCCTAAGTGTTAGACTGTCAACTGTACATGGACACGATCCAGATTCTGTGACCAAAGCCACAGGCAATGACTCTAAAACTCTGGTTTCTTCTATCAAGGTGTCAGGCCCTGGCACGTAATGAGCCAGTATGGTGTGATTTGGGGTGAATTTAGTAGAGTTGCTACGGATACTGCAGCTGACATGAGCAAAGAGAATTGAGTCCCTAGGGCTGATCTGTGTGGAAGTGACAGCTGTCCCCAACTAGCATTGAGCATGTGTACCATTTAATCACAGGTTAACGGGTCTGTTGGTGGACTTAGCGTATCAGTAGTCTGATGATATTCCTCCCACTTGCCTAAGTTCCAAAACACCTAGACTCCCATTTATGTAGGATAAGAGGGAACCATCGGCTTGAAATGCTGCGAATTAGCTTTGCTTCAGTGCCTGTCAACACCGCCTCCACCCCAGCGCGCCACGTTGACAGTGGTGCCATTTAAACTCTGCAGCCTTTCTGTTGTACGGCTTCAGTGAGTTGAGAGTTCTGAGTTTTTAGGTTTTCCTTCATAATTCTATTATATGTGCTAAATTTTGACTTTTGTTTATTGAATAGCATCAACATATTCTTGTGATTTCTTTCTCACGTTCCTACATCCTTTGGCTTTTTCTTCCAAGGACAGCCTCACTTTCTGCTTTTGCAAAAAAAGCAGTGGACATTCAAGGAATTAAAAGTCTTCATTATGTCCTTTCTTTGTAGCCAGAGCCCAGCAAGTACTTTCCCAACAGGAGCAAATCCTAGTAAAATTGGAAGTAAATCTAACGACCTGGCTTCCTCACTTGTCACTTTGAGATGCAGGGAAGGACTGATTCGTGCTGCTGAGCTTTGCAGAAGATCCCTTCCGGGCACTGACTGTCCTCGCTGAGAGGATCTTCTTTTCTTAAAGCTTATTAGCTTGAGTGGGGCTCTGGTCAAAGATCAACTTCAGGCTCTTTAGAAACAGCTAAGAAAGGTCATCCACTGCTGCTTTCACTGTGGGTTTGGTTGAACTGAAATCAATGATACAGGTATTCCAACCTCGGACTCCATGTCTGATGGCAGCTGGGGAGGAGATGTGCCTTCAGACCAAGAGATTAAAGTGGTTTCTTGGTGCTTTATTTTACGAGGGGTTGCGTGTGGTGGGAGAGTGTCAGGAGTGGGTGGGAGTGACAGTCCTGTGTTCTGTGTTTCTAATATGACCTGATTTGTTTAAAATAACATAGAATTTCTTGTACTAGTCAACTCAGGCTTCCATAACAAGATACCCCAGACTGGGTGGCTTACACAACAGAAGTTTATTTCTCACAGTTCTGGAGGCCAGAAGCCCGAGATCAAGGTGCCGTCAGTGTCGGGTGCTGGTGAGGGCTCCCTTCCTGGCTTGCAGACGGCCACCCCTCACTGTGTCCTCATGTGGCCTTTCGCCACGAGTACACCAATCCTGTCGGATCGGGGCCCCACCCTTAAGACCTCATTTAACCTTCAGTGCTTCCTTAGGCACCCCATCTCCAAATACAGCCACACTCTGGATTTAGGGCTTCAGCGTGTGAATTCTGGGGAGATGCAAACATTCAGTCCGTAGTGCTGATTACCCTGAAGTTTAGTGCGGCTTCTTTTTAAAACTATAATGTAGCACTTCCTGCCTCAGACATTGTTAACTGTCGTTTCTTTCTAGAGAGGAAATAAGTGTTCAAGCACAGTGACTGGCCTCACGGGACCTTGCTGAGTCCAGGGGGTGGGGTGGGGGGAAGACCTGCAGAGCCCAGATGAGGCAGACCCGGGCGAGGGTGGATGCGCGCTGGCCTCGTTCCGTGGGCGTGGGGCGGCTGGCAGAGTGGAACTAGAGAAGGGGACGGCTTCCCCGCCCCCCACTGAGAGTAGCTGATGTGGTAGAAAGGAGGGGGGAGGGCGTACGCTTTTAGAGGGTAGGTTTAGGAATGAGGCCCACAGTTTATAATCTCACATCCCTGAATCCTATTCCTCTGAAGTTATCCTGTGTGATGTTCGTGCACGTTCTGTGTCCACAGGGAGAGGGGTGGGGAAGGAATTCTTGACTTTCATTACATTTTCTGAAAGGTCCATGCCACCCTCTGAGTTACGGAGGGCTGAGGGGTCCTCCTGGAGAGGACCGAGCAGGGGCCGTTGGGGGTCTCGGGGGTTCAGGTGATGGTGTCTGGCCTTGATGCTGTGGGTCCCTCCAGGGCCTTCCCAGCCCATCCACACTGAGCGAGGCCCTTGGCCCCAGCACCAGGCACAGAACAGCCCTCAGGTGACAGCTTACCTGCCCAGAAGTGCTCTGGTGGGAAGGGTCTTGTCCCTCAGTCCTGGACCATTCTTAGCACCCACTCTGGTTCTGCACCCGGTCCCCTAACCCTTGTGATTCTGTCGGAGGTCATAGACAAAGCCCGCAGGAGCTGGAGAGGGCAGATTGCCGCCACGGGTCAGGCACAGGATAGCAGCCGGCCGCTGGCGCTCAATCGGCTGGGGTCCGGGGACTGTCGTCAGCTGGGCACGTAGGTCCTTGCGCATGGCTGCGGCTTCTCGGGTCCTGTCCCCGCCCGCTGTCGCTTTACCAAAATGTGGGTTCAGAGTTGCCAGACCTTTCCGTTTTCCAAGGGAAGCCAGAAGTCATTCATCTTCATGCAGCGCATTCATGAGTTTTGTGCATACGGTTTAGCACTGCAGGCCAAACAGAACACACGGGGCTGGAATGCAGGCTGCTGGTCTAACAGCTCCGGATGGGGCGGAATCCCATGTGAGTCTGACAGGTCAGTGAGGGGCTGGTGGAGGCTTGCTGAGTCCCCCTGCTCCTTCACCTGCCGGACCCCTCCCTGTGCAGGCCAGGTTGCAGCTGCCCGAGCCTGTCTTGTGTTTCTAGACGTGTCCGGCTCCTTGCAGCGTCACAGGCTCTGTGTTAGCTGATGCTCTTCTTGCCCGGACGGCTCTTCCCTCGGGTTTCTGCGCAGATGCTGCCTTGTACTGATACTTAGCTCCTCTGCTTCCTGACGGCCCGGTCACTGTACCACAGAACCCTAGTTTAGGTCTACAGAGGCCTTTCCATCATCCGACCTCCTTCAGGGGCTCTGTGTGTGTATGTGTGTGGTGTGTGTGTGTGTGCACGAGCACATGTGTACATGTGTGTGCATGTGCATGTGTTCTCAGCCTGCTGTGGAACACAAGCTTCCTGGGAGCGCCTGTTTTCTGCTTTGTTCTCTTGTATCTAGACGAGTAGCTGATGCACGGCAGGTGCTCAGTAAGTAGAAATTTGGGGAAGGAAAATCAGCCATGAGTCATGCTTTATTTTGATGTTTCTTTTCAGTTAAAGTCTATCGCTGAAACATGCTTTTTTGTCGTCACCTTTCTTCACAGTTAAGAGGAAAAAAAGTTCCAAATCAGAGGCCAAGGGAACTGTGTCTAAAGTCACTGGGAAAAAAATCACCAAGATCATCGGTTTGGGAAAGAAAAAGCCATCGACAGATGAACAGACCTCCTCAGCGGAGGAAGATGTGCCTACTTGTGGTAAGACGGGGGTGCGTGGGTTTGCCAGGTCTGCACCCTCTCCCCGAGCACACGGAGACCCTCTCCGGGGACACCTCTGTGTCATGTTCTTCTAAGTCTCACTGATTGGGCTCTTTTGCACTGGGCTTGTGATCAGTTAAATTGTGGAGAATGGATTACATTTTACTGCTTATTAATGAAGGCCTTGCAGGCGTTTGAGATGATCTCTGAAGTTCTCTCAAAACAAAAAACAAATTCTCTCTTTGATCCCATGAGGTTCTTCCAAATCCCCCCTTTTTTTAAACTTTATCTTTTGTTGTATATTTATTTATTTATTTATTTATTTATTTATTTGGTTGCGCCGGGTCTTAGTTGCGGCAGGTGGGCTCCTTAGTTGCGGCTCAAGGCCTCCTTAGTTGCGGCATGGGAACTCTTGGTCGCGGCATGCACGCGGGATCTAGCTCCCGGACCAGGGATGGAAGCCGGGCCCCCTGCCTTGGGAGCACGGAGTCTTCACCACCAGGGAAGCCCCCAAATTCCTTTTAAGCGTCTTTAAAGGGAAACATACGCATAGGCGGTTGGCCAGCGGAGGCGGGTGTGTAACGTGTGTAAGAGCGTTTACAGGGTCCCTGGCAGCCCCTTCCCTTGGCCTGACGTCACACGACTCAACTTTCTGGGGCTGCTCCACTTCTCAAGCTTCCGCCTCAAGTGCAGTCGGGCCGGCTGACCCCTCCCCTCGTGGGTCTTCGTCCAGTAAGTGTTCTCTGGGCAGCTGCTGGCGGTGGTGCTGCGTCAGCGGGGCGAGGGGTGTGACGACCAGATGGCTCCTGCGATCCCACTGCATCCAGTCTAGCACCCGAAGGGCGGCCTGACAAGCATGTGGTGACTGACTCTGATCACGAGCACGGCGGGGATACGAGATGGGAAGCCGGAGAGTCTGGCGGGCATTGTGACTTACACGGAGGCGCCTCAGGGAACACCTCCCTGGAGAAGTTAGACAGTACGTGCACGGTGTTTCCTAGGCAACTGCGTTTACGAGAACCGTGCGGCCCCTTTAAGGAGAAACGCTGAAAGATGGATATTTACCCTTTAAGAAAAATAAGAATGGGCTGTACTTTCCCTTGCGGACCACAGGGCGCATCACACGTCAGTCCCGTAATGCCTTTTATGTGTGCCCGCTGTTTACCTCTCTCTCTCTCTTTTTTTTTTTTTTTTTT